CAGTATTGTGCCACCAACAATCTCGCTGCCGTCATTAGGTTCAGAATCAAAATAGTCTCTATAACAGTACAATCAGTAGTTATACCTAACAGGAATAACTGAGGGGTAAACTTTATCCTCTTTTTAAAAATATTTTGCATAATCCACCATATTTTTATCCAAAATGCTTTAACCTTTTTACAAGTCCACCATATATGGTAATGCGTATCATCAACACAATCACATCTCCAACATTTAGGTTGTAAATTCGGATACATACAAACCATTTTTTAAGGATCTATTTCACAGGTTCTTGTGAACATAAAATTAAAACATCTCTCAAGTACATAGACTTTAGCCTATGGACAGGAATAGGCTGGAAGAGGAATAAAAATACAGGCAATTAAGTCATCTTTGCATACTGTTTCCCCACTTCTTTTGGAAGCTCTCTTTGGACAAAGATCCTATTTAACCATTTATAGTACACACTCCTTTGTCCTGCAATGCACTATTCATGAGAGTCAGATCACTAACCCCAACCCTAACTGAAATAATTCTGCATTATTTGTTCAAGGAGAACTAGCAAACATACTGTATTCATTTTCAAATCTATTTTTGTTATTTTGTCTAGATATATTAATACTTCAACAAATATCAGCATTAAGCATTCATTGGAAGAATAGTGTGGCTTATTAATTTCTTCTCCTTGAAACGGCTTTCTACATTTAACCACTTTTTTAGAAAATCTCTATCTACTGTACCTCTAATGGTCTACAGATTTTTAAATGGTTGAATAGCTAGAGTTTACTTTTGTTTACTGATGGTTAGTGAAAGCACAAGGCTATGCCAAACAACCATGCATTATTAGGTCTATGCTAATAATTACAGTAAACTATGTGTTGCAGCTTCATCCAATATGTATACTGCATGGGATCCCCATTCCACAATGGTTCCCACATGTAGTCCATGAGTGTAGTGCTGGTAAAAGTGTAGATGTTAATTCCTTAACATACCTACAAAGCATTGGAGAGACTTTATGAGATTCTGGTACAGAAGATTAGAAATGTGAGATTGACATTGACTTTGTTGTTTCAGAAGACAAAACAAGAAGTAATGGGTCTAAATTAAAAGGAAGGAGATTTGGGCTAGGCATCAGGAAGAATCTATTACAATAAGAATGAGATCTGTTTGACAGTGGCTTTTGCCAAATGACCACCTGTTAGGAATGCTGTAGTAGATATCATTGGGATTATGATATCTGGCACTTAGAAAGATTGGTCTTGTCAGGCGCAAGTAATTACGAATAGAACAGGAGTTTAGTTCAAGACATTTCAAGTTTATTTCATGCTACCTATACACAAGAATCCGATCTACTAATAGTCAAGGCAAATTGATGCTAGAATAGGAGTAACAGAATTCAAGATGGCCTGGACTCTTGTTGGAGTGGAGCAGCTGCAAACTGATGAAGCTAATGACCCCACAACCTCAGGCTCAGTCTGGTCATCTCCAATATGTCTAGTTGCTCTCAGATGTTATTTCCATAATTGGTTTTATGCCTTTGAGTCTATCTTGACTCTGGTTAACTTCTTGAACTATCCCTGCTGTTTTCTTGACCATATTTTTGGCAGTCGTTTGTGCTTGCCTTCTTCGTAGAGAGATGGCCCAGGTCACGCAGCTGGTCTGGTGCTTGAAGTGGGACTGGAACCTATAGTCTCCCAGTCTGATGCTTTAATCACTACACTGGACTGTCTCTCCTTCTGTTAAAAATATATAAACATACAATCAGAATCTCAAGAGACCACCAAATCTCACACCATCTCTAGCAACAACAAAAGAAATAATTTGATGGTCTTTTGAGATTTTAACCATTTTAAAAGCAGTTAGTTTGCGGATGCTTTTTCCCCACAGATATCATCTTCCTGACCTCTTTCACATGTGCTGGTTTTCCAAAAAACACTTGTGATGACAGCTTAGTGATCTGTCAAAGGAAAAGGCTAAGAATGAGTCCTAACACACTTGTCTGCCTCCACATGTTTACAAACACTTAAATTGCAAACCTGAGTATTCTTTTAAGTATATCTTCCTTCCTACTGCTTCATCCCTTTGATGAGAAAGAGCCCACAAGATTCACTCCTTTTGTTTAAAAAGATGTTATGAAGATTTAAAAAAAAACACTGACTATATAGGTTCTTAAGAAAGCAAGATCAGAGGAAACCTCCACCCAAGTCATAAATCCCTTCCCATCTCTTCAGCTGCTTCCAGACGAGTCTTTTAACATGCAGCATGCATGGTTCTTTAGAGCAATTTCATGGAGTGTCCAGATGACATCAGCATCCTTACTTTGATCTTTCTTTTGTCCTTTGTTTGTTTGAGTGGCAGTAATCCATTTTGGACAAAAGAAGCAAATTAGTCATGCAAATCTCAGAAAGGATTTATCTTCTGTAGCATTTCGCTTCTTTTTTCCCCATGTTTTATTTATTTTATTTATATAACATTTAAATTCCATCGAACAGTGTGTAATCTGGGTACAGTTATTTTTGAACAATCATAATCCACATATTGTTGTATTCATCATAATATTAAAATATAATAATATAATAATATTTAACATCTTTCTTAACAACTCTTCACATTAATATTTCCTCTTTTTATATCTCCTCCTTTCTGACTCCTGTTTCTATTGTCTAACCATTGATAAAATACATCCCATATCAAAAAATATTCAGTTTCTTCTTTATCCTTAATAGTGGGTGTTAATCTATCCATATCTGTGCATTCTAATATTTTCATTACTTTCTCATCTGACAGAATCTGATGGTTTTTCCATTGCTGTGCAAATACAGTTCTGGTTGCTGTTAGTATATGTAAAACCATATATATAGTCTTTTAATCATATTTTTCCGGTATAATGCCCAACAAGAATATCTCTGGTTTCAAGTCTATGTGTTGCTTTATCATGTATGTATTTTCGTCCAGTATTTTTTAGCTTTTGGGCATGTCCACCACATATGGTAGTATGAACCAGATGATTTATTACACTTCCAGCACTTAGCAGATCTATCTTTATACATTTTTGCCAGTCTTGCCGGTGCAAAATGCCATTTATAAAACATTTTGTACAGGTTTTCTTTGTATGAAGTTGACATAGTCAATTTAATTTTTCTATTCCATAGTTTCTGCCATTTATCAAGTTCTATTACATGTCCAAAGTTTTTAGCCCAGGTAATAATTGTCTCCTTTACCTGCTCACTTTCAAGTTTAATACTTAATAAATAACAATATAATTTATTTATCAGTTTTTTATCTGTTCCAATTAAAATCTGGTCTAATTAGGTTAGTTCTTTATTAAAACCATATGTCTTGGCGTCTTTCTATGTGTGGCTACCATGTAATGTCTATTCCATGGCTACTGAGTTCCTATTTGGATTTTAATTTCCCTTTGTCATTCAAAATATCTTTATATCTTACAATTTTTTTTTCATGTTCATAACATTAAGAGGTATCAATGCCTCCATAATGGAAAGCCAGATTGGTATTTTCAAATAGTGTTGTTCTTTTATTTTAAACCAGACTAATAACAATGCATTCCTAACATAATGTCTCTGGAAGTAACTATGTATCTTGTTCTTCTCATACCATAAAAAAAACTAGCCAACCTAGTTTGCTAAATATAATAGTCTGCCTATTTTAATATTCCCCAAAATATTTCATTCTTTAAGGGGGCTTCCCATAATATATTTCAGGTAAAGTACAGGATTAGGATTAATTTAGGAGAAAATTGTAATCATTTTCAAAGCATCTTTGGCTCCAAAATGGACATAATAGACACAGTAAAGCTTTTTTTAAAAAAATCACTAATGACTGCTTCTTAAACTTTTTGTTCTTAGAAGATTTTTAAAAATTATGGAGGACCCCAAAAGAGCTTTTGTTTGTATGGGTCATGTTTATAATTATCATATTAAAAATGAAAACTGATGCATTTGTAGAACATTTACTGAATCTTCTAAACATAACAATGTTAGACATTAGATATAACATAAATGAAATGTATTAAATGAAAAAAAACGATAAATTTTAACAAATAAATAATTATTAGAAGTATGAAATCTTTTTGCTTTTTTGCAAATATCTTCAAAAACTGGCAAACAATTTTTATTTTGTGGATTCCTGGGTGGTCTTAGGGACCCCCGGAGATCTTCAGACTACCTTTAAGAAACATTGTTAGGGTATATTTATTTGTCAGGCATGAAAGATAAAGTCCACACCTGAAGGTCCAGTTAAACTAATTTGCTAACCATCCCTATGCAGAGGAATCTTCTCAACGAACAGTTAGCACCTGCTTGTGGTTATATAAGGGTCAGTGGAATTCAAGGTGTGTTGGACTATGTTCACTTGCACCTACATAGAAAGTCTGGGCTGATCTCTCAACTCCACTGCCAGTTTCTGCCATTCCTGCTACAATTAGGACTACCAGATCTAAACTGCAAACCTCAAATGAACCACTAGAGGGCAGTAAAGCGGTATAGAAAAATCCTAACTCTTTGCTAACATCTAATGGTCATCCAAAATATTCATTGGTCAGATCTGGTATAGCCCAAGAACTTCTATCCCACCACTGTTTCTACTGTCCAATCCCACAGAAGCAGTTCAAAGTCAGTCCAGGATCATCTTCACTTCCATTGAGCTTGGAGGGACCATCTCTTTGGGTGATCATGAAGAAAGTGCAAAGAGCATCATTTAATGAGTGCTCTGCTCCTCTCCACTCTGCATGTTTAATTAATACAATATGTACTGTATGTGTTTGATGGATATACAAAGAAAAAAATGAGCTGATTTGTAGGAAGTTGTTAACTCTGTTGGACTTTAAAAACCTGTGAAAGAATTGGGCTTTGGCAAAATGCTACATAAACTGAACAGCAAGAGTTTTGAAAGGCTTGCTGGAGAAAACAGTCTGATATCAAACTCTACAGAGCTGCATCACAAGCAGTGCAAATGGAAACATCACCATTTGTGTAATTTCAAAAGCACCAGACTAAAGCCAAAATAAATTGGTTCAAATATTAAATGCAAATGACAGAATGAGATCACATATATCTGATTCCGGAGTGGTGCAAAGTCCGTATGCAAAAGCACCCTTGGATTGTACACCCCAGTGGCACTATTACTACTGGTAGACACTATGCTGAGCTAAGATTCTATCTCTACCCCATTTGTATCTTGCTTCTTCCCTTAGCCACCTTTGTTAATGTTAATGTTAATATTAATTGTTTTAATATTTTAATGCTGTGTATTGTTGTTTCTACTGTGTGGTAAACTTCCTAGAGTCCCCTGATGGTGAGATGGGCAACATATATATTTAATAAATGGACAAATGTGTTCCAGAATGATTAGAGAATTGGATCCTTTAGAATCTTTTAATTCTCTTCATTTGGGGGGTTATAAATGGAGGCAGGCATAGGTGTGGTCCCATTTTGACTTTTTGACCATTCCCTATGGAAGGTGCTGCTGCGCTGCATTTTGATTGGTGGTTTTGAGACATCAATTTGTACAGACTCATCTCTCTCTTTCTCTAGTATGTCCTGGAGGCTTTTAGATAAACTCTGGGTGTTCAAAGACATATTTTGAACAGCAACTCTCTCTTGTAAATTGCCTCAAGAACAGCTCAAGGAGGGGTTAACACATCAGTTCCATTAACACAGAAACTGTACTTGGTGTCCAGGATCCCAGCTGAGTCTCAGCTAAACCCTTCAACGGGGTGAAGTTTGAGTGGCAGCTCACAAAAGTAGTGGGATTTCTAGAGTCAGAAACCCTACCTCCTTTGTGCTATATCAAAAGTGCTCTTTTAAGAGAAATGTTGATCATCAGTTCAATTTTTATGTGATGGGGTGATAATTTGTTTGCTAATTTTGTTCTTTCTTCTACCTTAGCCCCAGCCTCCGCCTGTCTTAGGATCGCAGCCCAATCAGAATCAATTGCAGAATGCAGGTAATAATCTAAGTGATGATGTTTCTATTACTATCAAATAAATATATTATTTTTATATTACTGAAGACCATTTTTCCATTAAATGGCTCTGTGATTATCATCAACATGTTGTCTGAGTTTTGTGTGATGTATGATGTGACCAAGAGCCTCTTGTATTGAGACCAAGATTCAGCATCCTGAAATTTCCATATCAGTCTTCAAAGCAAATATGAAGCTACAATAAGGGACCTATTTTAACCCAAAGACCACACTGGCATCAGTTAAGCATTCTCCTCCTCCTCCTCCTCCTCCTCCTCCTCCTTACTCCCTCCTATTCTGATAATGTTCCCTAGTTGGGTCACGAAACGTCTGCAAGAAAACCACC